TTGATGTAAATTGTAAATAGCTGAGGCCCAAGCACTGATCCTTGTGGCACTCCACTAGTCACATCCTGCCAATTTGAGAATGACCCGTTTATCCCTACTCTCTGTTTTCTACCCGTTAGCCACTCTTCAATCCATGCTAATACGTTCCCATTAATCCCGTGAGCCTTAACGTGTGCAATAGCTTTTTGTGTGGCACTTTGTCAAATGCCTTTTTAAAATCTATATATACTACATCTACTGGTTCCCCCCTATCTAACCTGCAGATACATCTTCAAAAAACTCTAAAAGATTAGTTACGCACAACTTCCCTTTTGTAAAGCCATGTTGACTCTGCCTAATCTTGTTATGGTCTTCCAGGAATCCTATAACAACATCTTTAATTAAGGACTCCAGAATTTTCCCTCCCACTGATGTCAGACTAACTGGTCTATAGTTCCCCATCTTTTCTCTCCCGCCCATCTTAAATAGTGGTGTTACGTTTGTAATCTTCCAATCAATGGGAACCGGTCCAGAATCCAGAGAATTTTGGAAGATCAAGGACAAGCCATCCACTATCTCAGTAGCCACCTCTTTTAAAACCCTCGGATGTAGGCCATCAGGTCCAGGAGATTTATCAGTTTTAAGACTTGACAATTTACCTAAAACCATTTCTTTACTAATATTAATTCCTCCAAGTTGATCGCTAACATTGTCTTCTTGGTTCCCCTCTATTCTTGGTAGGTTTTCAGTGTCTTCTTAAGGTGAAGACAGTAGCAAAGTACTTGTTTAATGACTCTGCCATGTCTTTGTCCCCTACTATAATTCCCCCCGTCTCTGCCTGTAACGGACCCACATTTACCTTTGACATCCTCTTCCTCTTTATATATTTATAAAAACTCTTACAGTCTGTCTTTATTTTCTTCGCTAGTTTGCCCTCATATTCCATTTTCTCTCTCTTAATCACTTTTTTGGTTCTCCTTTGTTGATCCCTAAAGTTTTCCCAATCCTCGGGTTTACTACTCATCTTAGCTGTTTTATAGGCTTCTTCCTTTAACTTTATACTTTCTCTAACTGCTCTCGTTAGCCGCGGTTGGGTCACCTTTCCCGTGGCATTCTTATTCCTCAAAGGAATACCTGCTCGCTGGGAATTTCCCAGTTTATTTTGGCTAAATCCTCTCTCATACCAGCAATGTTGGCTCTACTTAAATTTAAGACCTTTGCTTCAGACTTAACTACTCTCTCTAACGTAATGCTGAATTCCATCATATTATGATCACTTTGCCCGAGAGGAGCCTTAATTTCCAGTTTGCTGATCAGCTCTGCTTCATTACACAAAACAAGGTCTAATATGGCCTGTTCCCTGGTTGGCTCCTCGGCACACTGATCGAGATAATTATCCCTAATACATTCTATAAACTCTTCCTCTATCATATTTTTCCCAATTTGGTTGTCCCAATCTATGTGCAGATTAAAATCACCCACAATTAATGTTTTTCCTTTGCTACAGCTCTGCTAATTTCCTGATTTATACTTTGAGAGATACTGTGACTGCTGTTCGGGGGTCTATAAACTTCTCCCACTAGAGTTTTCTGCCCCTTGTTGTTACATACCTCTACCCATACTGACTCTACTTCCTGCTTTTCTGATTTAAAATCTTTCCTCTCTACTGTTTTTATCCCATCCTTTATTAGCAGAGCCGCCCCCCTTCCTCGTTTACCACATTGCCTATCTTTCCTATACACCACGTACCCTGGAATATTTAGCTCCCACCCTTGATCTCCCTGTAACCTTGTCTCTGGGATGGCTACCAGATCATACCCGTTTGTTTCTATTTGTGCAGTTAGTTCATCTCTCTTGTTTCGAATGCTTCGCGCATTCAGATATACCACCTTTAATTGACAAAGCCGTAGACCAGGGTTTCAGTGGCTTTGGAGTGAGGTATTGGTGGAGACGGACGATGTGTCGGAGGTGGAAGAAAGTGGTGTTGGTGAGGGACTGGATGTGGGGGTGGAAGGATAATTGGTAGTCGAACCAACGCCTAGGTTGCGTACGGTTTTGGAGAGTTTTAGGGGGAGGTCGGTGAGAAGGAGGTGGAGGAGGTACAAGCCATGTGATTTTAGATGTTGATGACAGCCAAAGAGTATGGCTTCTGTCTTGTCAACATCCAGCTGAAGGAAATTTGTGCTCATCCAGCTCCTGATGTCTGACAGGTAGACTGACAGAACATCAGGGGACTGGGCGTCACAATGTGAGGTGGAAAAATAGAGTTGGGTGTCGTCTGTATACATGTGGAAGTGAACCCCATGTCTGCGGATGACATCCCCAAGAGGGAGCATGTAGATCCGAAAGAGGAGGGGACCAAGGATGGATTCTTGGGGTACCCCACAGGTAACCGGGTGAGAGTGGGAGGAAAAGCCATTTGTGCAGATGTACTGCTGACGGTTCATGAGGTAGGACTCGAACCGGGCGAGTGCGGTCCCACTGAGGTGTATGACAGAGAAAAGGTTTAAAGAGTAGGACCTCAAAGGTGATCTCTGGATTACTTCCAGTGTCTCATGCAAGTGAGTATCAAAACAGCAGATCAAACACATGCCCACATTGGGCGACAGATTTACCGAACATCTCCGTTCTGTCCACAAGCTCAACCCTCAGCTTCTGGTCTCTTGCCATTTCAACTCTCCCTCCCACTCTGACCTCTCCTCCATGGTCTCCTACGCTGCTCCAATGAGCCACAGAGCAAGCTCGAGGAACAGCACCTCATCTATCTGCTCGGGACCTTACAGTATACTACTTACCTTACTGCTGGCCTCAGTATTGAGTTTTTTGATGAAGTAACAGAGAGGGTGAATGAACGTAGTGCAGTTGATGAAGTTTATATGGATTTTCAAAAGGCGTTTGATGAAGTGCCACATAAGAGACTTGTAAACAAAATAGAAATCCCCGGTATTAAAGGGACAGTGGCAGCGGATACAGAACTGGGAGACAGAGAGCAGAGAGTGGTGGTGAATGGTTGTTTTTCTGACTGAAGGGAAGTGTGCAGTGGTGTCCCCAGGGGTTGGTATTGGGACCACTGCTGTTTTTGGTCTATATAAAAAATAATAATAAATTGCATTTATATTTACATTTTTATTCATATTTAAATCTATGCAAAGTAGCTGGACTTGGTATAGGGAATACAGTTTCCAAGTTTCCAGATGATACTAAGCTAGGAAAAGTAGTAAAGATTGAGAATAGTAGCAGACTGCAAGAGGACGTACACAGACTGGTAATATGGGCAGACACATGGCAGATGAAGTTTAATGTGGAGAAATGCGAGGGAGAGTGAGGAGAGGAATATAAGCTGATGGTAGAATCTTTAAAGGGTAAAGGAACAGAGAGACCTGGGAATCCACATAAGCAAATCTTTGAAGGCAGCAGGGCAGGGACAGGTAGATAAAGCTGTTTTTTAAAAAGAAAAGCAAACAGAATACTAGGCTTTATAAACAGGGGCATAGAATACAAAATATGATGAACCTTTATATAAAACACTGGTTAGGCCTCAGCGAGAGACTCGGTTCAGTTCTGGACACCACACTTTAGGAAGGATGTCAAGGCATTGGAGAGGGTGCAAAGGAGATTGACCGGAATGGTACCAGGAATGAGGGACTTCAGTTATCAGGAGAGGTTAGAGAAGTGAGGGTTATTCTTCTTGGAGCAGAGAAGGTTAAGAGGAGACTTAATAAATTTTTTTTAAATTATTTGGCGATTCAATGGTGTGAAAAAGGAGAAACTATTTCCACTGGCGGGTGGGTCGGTAACCCAAGGATACTGATATAAAATAGTTGTTAAAAGAAACAGAGGGGAAGAGAGGAGAAATTTTTTCGCACAAGCTGTTCACAAGCTGGAATCATTGCCTGAAAGGCTGGTGGAAGCTGATTCCATAACAACTTTTAAGAGGGAAGTAGATAATTATTTGGGGAGAACAAGTTTGCAGGGTTATGGGGAGAGAGCGGGGGAGTGGGGTTGATTGGGAAGCTCTTTTCAAAGGTCCGGCACAGACACGATGGGCCGAATGACCAACCTTCTGTTGCTGTATGATTCTATGATACTGGAATGAAATAATGTGACCTGTGTTTGTACATTTTTATAGCTATTTGAATGTGCTTTTGAATGTGCGTTACTCCTACCCTCCTCCTCTTCCAACTTTGCTTGATGAACCACACTATTAAAGAGAATGTATTGTGTTGCTATGTGTGGGAGTGTATTGTTACTGTGTTACAGTGAGGGGGAGTGTATTGTTACTGTGTTACAGTGAGGGGGAGTGTATTGTTACTGTGTTACAGTGAGGGGAGTGTATTGTTACTGTGTTACAGTGAGGGGGAGTGTATTGTTACTGTGTTACAGTGAGGGGGAGTGTATTGTTACTGTGTTACAGTGAGGGGGAGTGTATTGTTACTGTGTTACAGTGAGGGGGAGTGTATTGTTACTGTGTTACAGTGAGGGGGAGTGTATTGTTACTGTGTTACAGTGAGGGGGAGTGTATTGTTACTGTGTTACAGTGAGGGGGAGTGTATTGTTACTGTGTTACAGTGAGGGGGAGTGTATTGTTACTGTGTTACAGTGAGGGGGAGTGTATTGTTACTGTGTTACAGTGAGGGGGAGTGTATTGTTACTGTGTTACAGTGAGGGGGAGTGTATTGTTACTGTGTTACAGTGAGGGGGAGTGTATTGTTACTGTGTTACAGTGAGGGGGAGTGTATTGTTACTGTGTTACAGTGAGGGGGAGTGTATTGTTACTGTGTTACAGTGAGGGGGAGTGTATTGTTACTGTGTTACAGTGAGGGGGAGTGTATTGTTACTGTGTTACAGTGAGGGGGAGTGTATTGTTACTGTGTTACAGTGAGGGGGAGTGTATTGTTACTGTGTTACAGTGAGGGGGAGTGTATTGTTACTGTGTTACAGTGAGGGGGAGTGTATTGTTACTGATGTTTCTCTAGGTAGAGTTTATTATGTTTCTGATGTATTTTTATTGTTGCTGCTAGTCTGTGGGAGGCCTGCTAGTGTCCTGCCGGCACTGATCAAGCGGATTGTTGGAGGCCGGACTGCAGAGCCGGGCTTCTTTCCCTGGCAAGTGCTGATAGTGGCAGAGGATACAACGCGGGTCCCAAAGGATAAGTGGTATGGGAGTGGAGCTTTGCTCTCTGGTTCCTGGGTTCTGACTGCTGCTCATGTCTTGCGGTCTCAGCGACGGGATGACAGTGTGGCTCTGGTTCCAACTGAACATGTCACCATCTACCTGGGCCTCCATGATGTACGTTACAAGGAGGATGCTGTGAAACGGGCAGTTCAGAAAATTACTCTTCACAAAGCGTTTGATCCCAGAACATACAACAATGACATTGCTTTAGTAAAGCTGTCAGAAAAGGTGTCCATGGATATTCTGGTGATGCCATTGTGTTTGCCTGCCTTCCACCATGAGATGCAAGGCCTTCACCCCAACACACTGGGGCTGGTTGCTGGCTGGGGTATCTCCAATCTGAATGTGACCATTGATGATATCTCCAGTAGTGAGCATGGTACATTGTCCAACACATTGCAGTACGTGAAGCTCCCTGTCACACCCCAAGCTGAATGTAAGGACAGCTATGAGTCACGCTCTGAAACCTATAATGTGACCGATAACATGTTCTGCGCTGGGTTTTATGAAGGTGGAAAGGACACGTGTCGTGGGGACAGTGGTGGGGCCTTTGTTATCCAGGACCCAATTACACAGCGATGGGTGGCCCAGGGCATTGTGTCCTGGGGAGGACCAGAGAAATGTGGCAGCAAACGTGTATATGGTGTTTACACCAAAGTATCCAACTATGCAGCTTGGTTGGAGCAGGAAATGAACAATGTTTCAGATTAACCAATTAGAGGCTGGAAATTTGTGGATCCAGACTGAAGAAAGAAGAATTCACATTGCCATTTAACTGCCATTTGACCCAGAAATCCATGGGTTCAGAAAATGCTTTTTTTGTTATTTAACTTCACTGAGTGTTTGCTGTGTAAACTCTGCATTTGTCTATTTTGTGACATTAGCTAGATGTTTAAGACCACTTAAGGCATCATTCACTGCCCACCATTACAATTTGAGTCCCAGAATTTGTTGCACTGCAATTTGGGTTGGTTGATGGATTCAGACCTTTGGCCACTGCTAGCAATGCCCAATGACCTAAGCAGTGATGATACTGCCTTTGCCTTATTGCTCTATTTCTTACCCTGACATGCAAAGTATTCAACATCAGTGGCCTCACCCTGACCATTCAGCCTTCAGCTCCCCTCTCGACTCTCTACCCCCTCCTCGCTCCCTCCCTTCCCTCCCCTCACCCTGACCATCTCCCCCCTCCTCGCTCCCTCCCTTCCCTCCCCTCACCCTGACCATTTCCCACTGCTCGGGTCCTGACCCAACTGTCCAGTGCCTTGGGACGTCCTCCCGACGTGAAAGGTGCTCTATAAATGACATCTTCTTGTTGTTGTTGTTCTGGGGATGTGCATTCTCCAATATTGGCTTGTCATCTCATTTCTAACTGGATTAGATCTAATTTTGAGATTTGGTCTCCATATTTTATATAGAGGAAGATTCATAATAGCTTGTTGGTTTCCTCCATTAATAATAATAATCCTTGCATTTGATATAGTGCGTTTCACGTCGGGAGGACGTCCCAAAGCGCTTCACAGAACACACTTGAAAAGTAAAGTGAATTGACTGTATATTTGTGGGCGAACGCGGCAGCCAATTGCGCACAGCAATGTCCCACAAACAGTCGTAGATTGAAAATGACCAATTTATTATTGTTTTTGGTTTTGGAGGGATTATTATTAGGCTCTGTGTGGAGTAAGGAAACTTGCCCAAGGTTTCGCCCTCTGCCTGGAATTGAACTCAGGTCTCTCGCTTGCAAAGCGAGTGCTCTAACCACTGAGCTACAGGACTCCACTATCTTAATTATCTTAACTTCATTATCTTAAATACCTCAATCCACTGCTTTCCTAATTAGAAAATATTCCAATCTAAGATTCTTATGGCCAAAGTATACTACCTCGGAATTTACTACATGAAAATTCACTTATCATGGTCAGGTTATCACTTAATCTATTTGCCTCTGCAGTTTTCCAGTGGTGTCATCAACAAATTTGGACATATTCGCTTCTTACCTTTTTTGAGCAAGTGCATGATAGTCGTTAATTGGTGATGAGCTAAACATTCCTGATCAGAAGCGACTGGTCTCAACCCTGAGAATCTCTCCAACCATCCCTGGACATCAAACTGAAAAACTCAGTATGTGGGGAACTGTGGCCCTGAATCCCTGCCAATCATTCCACTGTCACTCCACTCTCATGCCACATTGCTCCATCATCACGCAGTCATTTCAGTATCCATTCCCTGTCACTCCACTATCACTATACTGACATTCCACTTTCACTCAATTTGATTCCAATACTCCACTTTTGCTGCCCACCACTTTTCGATCATTCCACTGTCACTCTTCGATCACTCCACATCCTGCTGAAATCCCCATTCATCTGAACTATTGATCTTTTAAAGTGTCTGATTGTCCATACAGAAAGATATTAAATTAATCTTGTGAGGAATTGAATGGACCAATGGTCTACTCCTAACCACTGTATTCTGATATTTACATTCCTGCCCCAGGTGAGAGCAGCATACAGCAGATAGTATAATCTGGCCATCACTCCCGATGGTACTGTATAACTGCAGCTACAGATACTGGAGCTACAAGTGGGAACTTTGGCAGTTCGTAATAACTTAACAGTTTAGTGCTATACTTTACATATTTTGAGAAATGTTGCGAGATACAGGATTGAGAATGATTGAGATTCAGACCATCCAGTGACTGATGTCAGGTAGCTGTTGACTTCTAACAGTTTCATCTCCTGAGATGATTGTTTTTGAGGTTTTGACTTTTTTTCTTCAATCTCCCTCTCAGCCGCAAAATAAATGTCACCAGGTCTCAATGGCCTTCTTCTCTTCGATAACATTTAAAAAAATATATATTCTGTGCAAAGTAAACTCTATTAACTACTTAGGTCCAGATCTCACAATTAACTTATTGTGTCTCAGTGGAATCTACTCAGCTTTTCCTCCATTGCTAAATGGTTTCAAATTATTTGCTGCCGTTTTCTCTATATTCTGTCCTTTGCCCAATCCTTCAGTTGTTGCCTTAAAGTCTCTTATTTGAAGTCTGGAGTTTTAATTCCACTATTCGGAGATATCTTATCTCAGCTATTTTGTGTGTCACCCAAAGTACAGTTTATGTGGTTAAGTCAAGCCTGTGAATAAGAAACTGTTCAAGCTGAAAAGGCAACCAAAAACTACACTGGTTTAAATGAGAAATTTTATCCATTATATTTTAATACCTTGAACTGCCTTTAGAGACTGTTAAAAAGCCAGAAAGAATCAAACCCAGTTCCTGCTTTTCCATCAATCACTGAATAATAAAGGTACTTATTTTCCAGCTTGAAATTAACTCTTGCCCAGGCACAAGGCTAAACTCCTCACAGCCAATTCCTAAATAATCCCCAAAACACAGGTAAACTCAGTGACATTCACTGTTTTACCAATTGGTTATGTTACTGTTATATGTTATACTATGTTATATTGCAGTATTGCTGCTATTTTACATGCACAGTGTATCCATATTCTTGTAGCAGACACTGAAGAACCAAATATTTGTATTTCTGGTTTTGTTGTACTTAAACCCACCAATTTTCTTTATTTTTTTAAGATTTAATATTTTACTGTATTTTGTTCTTCTGTAAAATCTAAAATAAACCTATATTATTTAGAATAGATAGTAACATGTACCTTGTGATAGACAACATGTACAGTTTCTGGAATTTTATTCATCTTAAGGGAAATGAAATTATCTCCAAATCTTTCCCTTACCATTAGGGTTATTTTTGGTCAGTTTGTGTTCTTGATACACGCAGCAGTCTATCACCATGTGTAAGAGTATCCATATATATATATATGCTACCTATACATGGAAATGTCTCCATATTTGGAATGGAATGTGCACTGCCTCCTTGGAGGCACACGCACTGCTTACCTAATCCTGGAGAGTATTAGGCACAGATTGGTAAGAGCTATGGCTGGAGAATCTCATAGTGTGCCTTGGAGTTTAAATGGGTCAAAACACATAGGTTGGCACTGAGACCACTGTCTGCAAACTTCCTGCTCCAAGGTGTGCCTCCCTACACATTAGAACTTTGGCTTGCAGAGTTAACAACTGCTCCAGTAATTCTTCTGCCCCTTGAATTCTTGTTGATGAGCCGTGTTGGTCGGTGTGTTATCAGCACTGCCCACGTGGCTCAGGAACCAAGATCACCACAGAGGGTGGACTCAATTCTGACATTCCACGTTACCTTACAGCTAGCTCCAAGGGGAGTTCGCAGTCTCCTGGCCGAAGTGGCCCAGGTATCTTACAACACTGTTTTCTACTTCATACAACAAAGTGTGTGAACGAAGGTCAAAATTCTGCATCTCTCCTGGGGTATAGGGGACATAACAGATTTTTTGTTATTGAAACTGGACAAGTGACAGTTCTGATCTCTCAGAATATGATGCTAATTTATATAGGAACTGGTGTAAACAGCCAGACACCAGTGTATGCTGGTGCTCCTCCACTGGAGTTCTCTACTCTAATTGCATTCCTTGCTCTTTCCCTGTTGTGTCTGTGCTGGTACTAGGTTCCCTACTGGAATTAACTGCTCTAAACCAATGTGACTGCTGTGTCACTGTAAAACAACAATAACTGGTATTCATGCAGGATCGCATCTTGGTAGCTGCTACTGAAGTTTCCCATTTCTCTGTCAATTTCTTTTGGGCACAAATGTCTCACAGATATCTGCTTCTCACCACTGGCACTATTTTGAGTTAATTTAGTTTTTTTGTGCTACTTTCTAGTGTGTGGGAAGCCACGTGTAAAGCGAATCTCTATTCTACCTAAAATAGCGCAGGGAAAGGAAGTGAGAAAAGGCACGTCGCCCTGGATTGCAATGCTGGCAAAGAATGGAATGCCTTTCTGCGGAGGCTCATTAATAGGTGGGTGCAGCCGGCATAGGTACTTGCCATGTACATGTTTTACCTACTTATGATAAAAAGATGTATAACATGGAAGGGCTGGGACCACTGTAGATATCAATTATAACTACTGCATTCCTAAATAGAAATTCCACTGGTGTTTCCTGGTTCTGCCTCCAGAAGGCAGCATTGCATAGGAATCCCATCAATGGTACTTGGCGACTGCTTTCATAGAGTGATACGGCATGGAAACAGACAATTTGAGCCAACTTGTCCATGCTGGTGTTTATACTCCACACAAGACCTCACCCCTCCTAATCCCCTCACTTATACACTATTTCCTTCGCTCTCAGGTTTCCATCAAGTTTTCTCTTAAATGCATTGACATTTTTGGCTTCTTGGATTGAGCTCCTCATTCTCACCTCCCTCCTGCAATCCTCATTGAGGGGAGGTAAGTGGTGTCTCTTTGGAGTTCAGCTGACACCAAGGTGATGGAATATTAGAATTGAGCTGATCTGTGGCGTTCTCAGTAGTCCGGTTCCTGAGCCAGGCAGATACGCAGTACTCAACGGCACTATTGATGACAGACCAGCAGCCTGGCTCATTGGCAGGTCGTGGAGGAGTAAATCAGTCACTGCGGCAGGGATTCTTCCCACTCAGCTCCTGTTTTAATAAATAATAACATTTGAATTTGATATAGAGCTTTTCACATCAGGAGGTTGTTTCAAAGCTCTTAACTGTAGAGGATGTCGATAGAGTAACTGTATTTTGTGATGAATGTAAACCCTGAAAATCAAAGCCCTAATGGTTAAGGTGGTCCTAGCTGGATAGACAGTGGGAAGCTTGCCAGACAATATTCCCATTGGTTGTCTATGTGGTTTTAGCTGATTAAATTCCAGCAATACCCAATATGTGCATTGCGTCACCAAGCCTTAGCTTTTGACAACCAGCACCTAATATTTTCTGGGATTAAGTACACTTTGAGATGTCCTCCTGATGTTCCACAAATATTGAGAAATTTCCGTTTATCTGGAATGGATGCACGTCCCTTCCATGTGTGGAACTCTCAGAAGTGTGGTTTAGATACTCTTAAGCATAGTGATGGGCCTCCATCTGCATGAGTGTCAGCTAACCCAAAAAAGGACTTGCAGTTCATTCTTGATTTTCTGTTAAATCTTTGCCTTTGTCTCCTTGCAGGAAAGAATTGGATAGTGACAGCAGCTCACTGTCTACATCCTCCCTATGAACCTG